AAAATACATTTTAAGAATCACGTTGATAAATGGTGTATGAAAAATTGTAATTCTTATACGGACTCAATAGCTAACGAGACCAACACACAAACATGTGAACAAATTTTCAGTTGGTTAGGGAAATATAGAAACATAGTTCGAGGATTCAATGAATCCACATTTTATGACGTATATATGTTTTATATGTGATTTAAGGAATCAGCATAAATTAGATAAAGCTAGATTGAAGTTCAACACAAATATACAATCGCAGATATCCTCGTAAGAAGCCCAGTTTTTGTTACATTCTCTGTTTATTATAGTCTTCTGATATAGTAAGAAATAAAATATAATAGTATATCATATTCACTTTATATTTGAGAAACAGATTAAGAACAACGTATTCTTCTTTTTTCTTGTCTTTTCTTTTCATATGTTTTTCGTGTTAGAACGCTAATATTATATCTATTAGTATAGTAGGTGAGCTGTACAAAAGAGTTTGTTCTTTTATATGTATTGTTCACTGCTGAAAATAATTATCACCAAAAAATTGATGTTTACCTTCTATCACTTCATTTTTCTCTGTTGTTTTCTTATTAATACTTTATGTATACACTTATTAGTTTTATATAGAGAGATTATTATTGTGCGAAAAACTTTTGATTCATTTTTCTTTTTGTTCATGTACTAATGTGAAAAAAATTAGTTCCTGCAGCTACCGTTATGCGGCGTGTTGTGAATCAATTTCAAACGGCTCTTAAATTTTGATAATTTTTCTATTTATGTTATTCAACCTCTACTCATCGTTATTATCATGATAGATATTAAATGCTGGATATTACGGCGCAAAAGTAATTGGGCAAATGTCGAGCATTATTTCTACATGTTCCTGATGTGCTGAACAGTTAATTATTTTTCCGTTGGAAAGAGCAAAGTCTAAACTTCAAAAAACATAGAAAGTTAAACTTTTTTGTGGTTGAGTTTGAGTGAGAAAAGATTTGAATCTCAAGCATTGCCAAAAAAGCTCTTGCAAAGTGCTTTTTTTCTTTATTTCTTCACTATATCCTGAAAGAAACAGCTTTTCTGAAAACCAAATAGATGAGAATGTCGCCCGTGTAAAACTCTATCGATTCGCAAATCTTTCAGTAATTCATTGATAGTAATAAAGGTACATATAAAACTTAGTTTTGGTACTGTTTTGCATCAGGAAGATAAGACATCGAGAAAATCTGTTTTGTTCATGGCACAAACGGTGTTAGTAAAGACAAACACTAATGTGAGTTTGTAGAGAATTGAATGCTGTTTCAGAAAGTGTTTTAGCAAAAGGGCAAAGTTCATTTAGTATATGAAAATTATTGATTAATTCTAATTTTCAACTCTTTTTCTAAAACAAATGAAAAATTTACGAGTTTCTAATTGAAAAGTAGATCGAAAGATAATTTATCACATCTCATTCGAAAGAGCAATAAAAACACTTCTAGTTTCTATAATTACATAATTTCAAACGTACTCAGTTATTGGAAAAAAAATATGTATTTGATGAGAGAGATAGCGAGGAGACGGCGGAATTTACAAGAGCTGTTTTGGCGATGCTGATTCAAATTTTTTCTCACTCAAACTCAACCACAAAAAGTTTGCCTTTCCATGTTTTTTGAAGTTTAGACTTTGCTCTTTCCAACGGAAAAATAATTAACTTTCCAGCACACCAGGAACATGTAGAAATAATGCTCGACATTTGTCCAATTACTTTTGCACCGTAGGTTATATAAATTGTACTGCTAGTTTTGTAAAACTCAAAAAGATGAAACAAAACATTCAGTGTTCTCCGTTGAATCAAGAAACATAGCGATAATGATTACAGGTCAGCTCACTGCAAATCGTAACGAGACGCTTAAATATCTTCCCAGATTCTCTGAAATCTTGAATACTTGCATCTAAAACACAGACACAGCGAAACGAGAAAAGGTACATGATATTAACACTTTAGACCTACTGAGATTATGCATTAAATCCTGCACTGTGCATTTAATTTAAGCACTTTTTCTCAACCTTTCTTATTAACGCACTGAAAGACATACACTCATCTAAATCAATTATTCAACACCTTTTACAGGAGAAAACGCAAACCATTATGATCATCTAAAACTTGATTGCTATGTATAGACTATCAAACAGTTCTTTCCACTAATGTGTTAAAATATCTGGTCATTTATCATTGCAATTATAGTTACGAGACAAGAACGAGACAGAAGGAAAAAAAATTATATTCAATGCGACGATAAAAAGAGGAAAAGTAGAGAGAGTGAAGAACAATTTTGTGTTATATAAACCATAGTTATACAATTGATTGGTTGATCGCCTTACATTTTGTATCGATTATAATGTGAGTTACCAGTCAAACTTCTTGAAGTCTGAGTGAAAGACTTCATTCAGACAAACTCAAAAGCTGAATTAGAATATTCAACCCCGCAGTGATTATTCGATTACTATAAAGCTGTAGAATCAAATAGAGCACGGCCTCTGATTTAAGAAACATTGTTGTCAATTAATACAACAGCAGCAATAGTAAGTGGATCAGCCCGTTTAGAGCGATCTATTCTATTATCCTCTAAGGTATTCTTTAAACGGTTTACGTCAACATTCTCCAAAACTTGTGTACGATATAACGCACAAGCGTCCAATTCATAAGCCAGTTGTAACGGAATAACAGCATACATAAACCGGAATACGGATAATTCAACAATCACATTGAACGTACTTTCGATTTGCTGATACGTTCCAATATACTTCCATGTTGTATTAGTTTGAGCATGATAAGCAACGGTATTATTTTTAACTAATTGTAGAAATCCATGCTTACTTGAGCGTTCTACGTATCTAACACTCAGTAAGAATAACAAAATACAAACATATATAATCATTGTGGTCATCATCAGAGAAACATCGAGTATAAAACACAGATTAAAGCTTTTTTCAAATGTGATACAAAAACGATATGTATACTACTCTTATATATACAAGAAAACATATCATCTACCGCGACAGAACAACAGTATTAAAGAATATTATTTCCGCTTCATTATTGTGTATCATACAAATCATATTTATGTATCTGATGTAGTTGATATGCAGTTTCTATTCGAACTTCTAAAGTTCGAAAACTTTGATTTATTGAGAGATATTATAAAAAATCGTGTTAGATGTAATGTCAATCGATTGAAGACAAATTGTGATAAACTCCGAACACAACTAGTATTCAGTAGATTTCTTCTCTTCGATTCCTTATCTACCAGGATGCACTAAGATAGGTTGTATGTGTCTGATTGCATTCTGACACGCACGAAATATCTCAGTAGTAGAAGGAGTAACTATAAGTGCAGAGGTCATTGAATACATATATTCAACTATAAATATATAAATTGTGAGAAACTCCAAATACATTGGAGTGGTGCTTTTTTAAATGCCTCGAAGGTCGAAATGATTCGAGATAGTTTTATTTCTATCGAGGAAGCGAGTGACTCTACAGCTTTCGGAATACGTTGAAAGTACACAGATGATTTGATGCTTTCTATTAGTTTCCCAGGAAACTGATATGATTGCCTGAATAATCACAAGAGATCTTTAACGGGCATAATGGACATAAGTGCCATAACAGACATAATCAGTATAATGGACATAGTGGACATAAGCGACATAATCGGCATAACGGGCATAATGGGCATAATCGACATAATCGGCATAATGGACATAATGGGCATAATCGACATAATCGGCATAATTCTCGTAATCCACATACTCGGGATAATGGGTATAACGAAATTCTCAACTACCAATAGAATTCCGGATTTCCAAAATTCTCAAATTCTGAAGTGGGAATAGAATTCTCTAGTTGTCAGCGAGGCTGTTACGCAAGATACTCATGTACTTTTCAATACTCCGATCTAACGTCATAGTGTTTGCCATAGAAATGGGAGTATATTCTAGCGAGAAACTAGTGCTAGAAGTCAGGGAATAAGCACAAAGCAGTGAAACTATCATTTATTTTTCGCATCGACATACGAACATTTCAACAACTTCTTTAGCTTTATTTATTTCATTCACCTTCGCAAAATCTCACAACGTAAACAGCACGTCGTGCAACTACTTTTCGAATTCACTCTCACATCCCCCTGATATTTTAACTCAATCGCTTCTTCTTTTTCTTCTGCTGAGACAACTCGTCGGTTGAAAACTACGACCTTTACATGTATGTTCATTCTGTTCTCTCTTTTCAGTGAAAAAGATATTTTATCCTTCACTCTCACAAAATATTTCCGTGGGAGTGGAAACGGCCTTGACTGTATCGTTTTCGGCTTCTTGAAACGCTTGACGTATGAAATAAGTCGTATATATAGACTTTTATTTCATTCCATAGTATATGTATTCGAGCTAGCCGTTCCATCAGTCCTATGCAAATTCATTAAAGTCAAGGTGACACATGAACACACATAATGTACTTTCGTTGAACTATTCTTTTTTCCCATTGAAGGAAGAAAAATACGAAGAACAGATCATTCACTATACAGTCAACTTATGGACAATTCACTAAGCAAAAATCATTTCTTTTTATTTTAACGAAAATTAATATCATTCGTACACTACTTGTCAGAACCATTCTTTTTCAGTTTTCCTCACTCCTAGAAATGAATAGACGAATTCCCGAATAAGAAATAAATGAATTCTCCAATAAATCAATTTTCGAATTCCCGTCTCGGGAATTCGGCATCTACAGCACTCTCTGTAAAGTATTCAGATAAAACAAAGTCAGCAAAAGAATATATTCTAGCCGTATGTTCGTTTTAACTGAACGGATGCATCTTGTGTTTGTGATCCCTTCGTTGTTGTTATCATTTGATCATGGCTGAAACGACCACACAGTAAATATTTCATTAATAGCTTCTTTACTTGTTTACGGTAGACGACCGAGGATATGATATAAACAAAGAACGACGACGAATAATTTAAATACCACGGTATGTAAACTATTTGTCCAAAAAATTCTCCCATATCACGTGAGACGGACCTCTTTGATTATTTAATGTGATGCCAACGTAAATATTTCTTATCATAGCAGCAAGTGTTGATACAACAATCAACACTATTTGTAACATGATCATTGATGACATTTGTGCATCACGACGCTCTCTTGAAGATGATGGAGCAATTTGTTGACGCATATTTTTGTAGGTGAGTAAATCGAAGATGGATGTGATTAGTATGGGAGCTAAGCCGTAAAGTATAGGGGATAGTACATACGATGAATAATTAGTGTATTCAGGACGATTATAAGTGCAGACTGAACTTGCGTTGATATTGTAGAATATGAGAGCAGGAATATTTTCAAGCATCCAGAATGCAATGACTATTTGTATGGCGAATTTGGCAATTTTCAATGAACTGTATGCTCTTAAGTTAGCATTACAGCAAGACAATAAATATCTGTCTACCACTGCTATGCACACCAATGTTGGAGATGTAATGGCTAACACGAGACCATAATAAATTCGAAATTTACACCAACTCGTTGATAACCTCGAATAATCCACTTGAAAACCAACTGGTAAAGCACGATTAATCAAAAATGATTGTAAATATAAAAGATTGACATCGCATGATGCGCCTACCAAAACATCCACTGCCATGAATCAAAACACCCGCGTATATTGTTAATTGTTGAGTTATCACATTCAGTGTTGCTGCTGTTGAAGATGACGACATATTGTGTTTGGTTTGAAGTGGTGTTCTTTTTAAAAGAATGCTACTATCTGAAATGTTTCTGTGCATCAAATCATTACTTTCTTTTTCTTTGATGCTGACTTTGACATGCAATTAGAAGAAAAAAATCAGCGTCACTCTACTCAACTTATGATTATGTGATTATGAATGAACTCGGATTGTGTGAATCCTAGCTATCAGTATTATCTACAAGTCAAAATCTCTCGCATGTATCGCTACTGAGAATGTCTGCACGTGGTAAAAGCTCTGAAGATACAAAACAGTCTTGGAAAAAACGCAAAATAAGTTTGATTCTGTTAAATGCGTTAAATAATTCGCCGATATTTTGCTATAGGATATCGGTCTTAGCCGATCCAATGAACATGTGCGGCGCATGCGTGCACTTATAAAATACAAGTGCAAAATAGTTAGTTTTTGTGCCATAGAGCTTCTAGAAAGCTCGCCCACAACGTTTAGCGAGTCGCATTATTACCAGAAACTTCAATTACAAAAATGATAGTCTGTCCTTAGTACATAAACTAGGTTTGCCCGATCTCAATGTCGGACGTCAGTACTTTTGACTCATATCATTGTATAAAATTTACAATAACTTGGCTCTTCGCGAATCTCAGTATTTTCTTACGAAATTGACTTCGAGATATCTCTGATCATCGGTTTCTTATTCAGTCGATATAACCTTCACTTCTTTTGAGACTGTCCGGTCATCCTTTTAGAAAACTGCTAAAGATCTAGAAACAGTTATTTCCATCAATTCTCTCAAAAAACGTCAAAAAGGCTTTAATAGAACATATTTATCTTTAATTCCTTCTCGATCTTCAGATCTTTGTTTTTCTGCCTTTGTAAGCAAGATGAGTGTGAGTTGGCGCAGGAACAATACTGTGACAGCTCAAAGTGTAAGTTATATGTAATTCACTCATCTTGTCACAAAAATTAATTCATGATTAATGGTCATGTTCGGCAGAAAGTTTGAATTTAATGTTTAGTTTTTCTGTTACAAGTCACACTTACGTCTGAGCTTTTTTCATGTATCATGCTCTGTTACGAAAAGAAAATGAAATAAAGAAAGATGATATCCTTTTTCTCTTGATACGGTGTAATGATGCGATAACGTCTTATTTTGTACTGTTAAATCTCTGTTTTTGTTATGAAACTAATCGATTTCTGTCATTGTCAGCTCAAAGCTACAGAAATAAGAAGGAAATACTTTATTAGAGAAAAATTTATGAACGTTTAGGGCTTTTCTTGTAAGTTCTAGAACTTTGCAAAGAAAGGTTACGTAAAGCTGGATGACGTCTCATTTCAATCAGAAACGTGCAGGCTACAATCATGCCTCATTAAGAAAGGTTCGGGTTTTATTTTGGAGTTCCTAGAAAACCAGATCTTCGAAGGGCAACCTCATGGTCATATTCGGATTCACTTTTCTCCTCCTTGGAAATGACTTTCAGGAAAAGGATACGTAACTTTTTGAAGCACATTTTAGTGATTCTAACTTTTCATTTACTTATTTTTTGTGGGTGTATTGTTGTCGACGCTTTTTTTACTATGTTTATTCGTGAACGTTTTCCAAGACGCTTTTATTCTTGCCGTGTACATTCTAACCATGAGAAAATATCTGGAAAATATTCAAACTACAAAGTGCTGAAAGTTTTGGGGGCAGAACATGTCGGTTTTCCGAACGTTGCTCCAGCTTGAACTCATGGTGCTTAAAACTTCATGTTCTATAGTCGGTAAGCACATTTTCTAAATCAGTTTTTTATGTAGATAACGAATAAAAATAAACGAAATCCGAAAGAAAAACCATAAGCGGTTTTTGAAACACATGTATTTTTTACGATTTCGAAGTTTTTTAGTATTTCACTGTTTTTGACATGAAAAATCAACCTTTTCTCAATGAATTATACATATTCGGAATCAGCGTTGAGTTCTATCAGAATCTGTAAGGAAATCTATAGGTAAAAAGTCTACTTAAATTTTGAATTTCCTTAACCTTACAATCCATTTGATTTTTGAGTTTGATTGTTAACCTAGCTAAAAAACCAAATCAATTCTTTTACTTTTTCAAAAAATGAAAGGGGACTTTTATCCTGCAACAAAATCCTGAACGATATTATAAAAAGAGGAAAATCAAAATTTTTAAAAAATCAAGTCAATTTTATAGAAAGTCACAACTAAGGATTTCTCATTATTCTATGAAATACTGGGCCATATTATAAAACCTATAAAATCCTCAGCGGTTTTACAATCTACTTTCGTAAGTTTATAAAATTTTTAGAATTCACAGTGTATTTTATTAGAAGTCCTTTTCACTGAAGAGAAGATCAACTTTTTCTTAATGAAATCTCAACATGGCATAAATTGGAATAAAAACCCTATAACTCAGCTACCTTGACGAATTTCAAAATTCGGTTTTCATCAAAAAGATCTGTATCTAATTCTTCACAAATTAGTCTGAACTAATGACAAATATCCATTGTTCTTGTTGAACAAATATGCGAGATAAGGGTTGAAAATGAGAAAAGTGAAAAGTTTTGAAAAAATTAAATTTACAATAACTCGGTCGTCTGACGTTGTTTCAAAACTTGCATAAAAACATTGTCATATATTCAGCCACATTTCAGGGATAGAATTGATAACAGTTTTGTCCTTACACCTTAATAGTTTTTCAATTATAACAAGTCGTGATTTTTCGATATGTGGTTAATACAGGATTTCGAAAAAGCTTATTATTTTTTACGTGAAATTTATGCATGAAGTTCAATTAATCGCATTAAGTGTGATGGTAACAAGGCATTTCACTATATGTACAATGATAAAAAACAGAATTTTGTCGTGAAATCAGGAGAAAAAAATGACTGTTTTCTACATAACATGGAGAACTTCCCATGTTCCTCCACAAATTTGAGTTTGCGGCAAAGGGAAATTCTCTATAAGGTCGTTTTCTACCATTTGTATTATTTGGACTTTGGTTTGACGTATGGACGTAAGTCTAGTAATACTTAATAGTGTTTATCTCACTCTTTCTACATTGATTTCGTATAAGTAGATGGGTTTATTCAAGTAGAGTTTCTGAACAGCTTTGATTTATATGCGAAGAGCGAAAAAGTACAAAACTAGAAAGATTTTTCTGATATATTGTGGACAGTATCTGATGCCACTGCGGCAGTAGCTGTGAAATTAGATATATTGACTCGCGTATTAACAGCATGAATGATACTGTCTACATTGCATCCTGGGATGTCTGAATACAGGCATCCTGCTTTCTGTAATGTATTTACAGAAAGCAATATTCCCCAATATACTGGTCTATTATTGCTCAATATATTGATTTGATATCAATAAATACTTTGTAAATTTGTGAAGTATATGTTTTACATATATAGTACAGTGGCTGCAAAACAAAACGATGAGTAATCCGACTGTCGATATATCGAGTAATATATTGGGCTATATCTAGTAATGTATCGTGTTAACTAGCTATATCGCCCGATAGTAAATAACCTAATTCGAATTGCTAGCTAGCCATATCGTGTAGTATATTGAGTTAGTTAGCTAGATCGCCCGATAGTCGATGTTTTGTTTCTGCTTAGGATTAGCAACAGTATTCGATGGTTGTTATGGAGGGCACTGGGAAAGTACTGAAACAGAACTCGTATACAAAAGTTTTTATAAAAGTTCGCAATTTCTAAAATCTAAACTGACCTCGGGATCCTTTGAACATGAGCAGCAGCAGCATGACTGTACCCATTGGTAAGTTTTCTGCGCGACTCGTCTCACCAAAACGAGAACATAAAAAATCGCGTTTTGTTTCGTTTTTCATACTAAAAAACGAATCGAACGCTGTTTTTTATTTTCTCATTTTGGTGAGAAGAGGCACGTAGAAAATTTGACAATGGGATAGATTTCAACATCTATCTTCTAAACCTGTTTCAACCTAAGATTGTGAAATAAAAATTGTTTTTCATTTGATACTAACCATTATACTTTGAGAGGAAAAGTACGTTGAGACTATTTTGTGAAGCTCCTCAGAATAGTTTCCGAAGGGAGAAGGAGTTTAAGTTATATACTCAGAGCCCTAGCGTTTCTACCGTTTTTTACTTCCCTCCCGCTGTAGTTATGATCTTAATTTTATAAATAAGCGGCAGTGTTTACGATCGCAATTTTGCCTGCTGGAGCCTAGTTTTATAACTTTAGAACTCCTATATATAATCTCAAAATCGTTCTCAGTATGTGTGAATGATCTTCAAATCATCCGGTAGATTTCCCCTTTCATCTTCCAAAGGTCTAAAAATATTTTTCGATAAAACCTCGTTCGTCTCAGTTTTTGATGCTGATTCCGATTAGTACGTCGAAGAGTGTTCGTTCTTATCATCTCTACCAGTTCGTTTAAACCAAATAATTTGACACTGAAAGTGACTTTTAAAACCTTAGCTAAAAGTAGCATTCTGCCATTGTTCCTGCGTAGGTTGCTAATAAACACTAGTTTATTCTACTACTAGTGTTTGGATATAATAGACCAATCATTTCTTTTCAAAATAAAAAATTCGAGGCCAAAATTTAAGATTTTGGTCGGCTTCTACAGAAAACCCATACGGTGAAAATGTTGATTTCTTAAAATTTTGAGAAAATAAAAACTGCTCTTACGTACCAGACTCTATCGAGATCTAGTATTTTGAAGCTTTCCAAAACTTTTCACACATTTTTTCATTGTTACATTGTATCAACAAACTTTTGATAGATTTTAATAGAGAATCGAATGGAGAATCTTTTAAAAAAATTAACTTTAGAGGACGTGAGAGGGAGAAGAAAACTTGAAAATACACATCTCCTAATTCCGTATGCCGCATCCGTTAAATCTTTTTTTCTTTTGTTTTTACTGTCAATTTGTGTAAGTTTTCGATCAAATTTC